GCATCAGGAGAAATTCTGGATTTTAAACTTTTCTTTTTTCCGACCTTTCCTTACCCAAACCAACCGCCCTGGGAGCCTGTGCTGTGTGGGGAGCACCTGGAATCTCCTGGACAATCCCAATTTCCAGGGGCTGAGGCACTGGAAGGGCCAGCACGGACACAGGGAGGGGCTTGGATGCCACATCCACACCTGGCCCCAGGTGAGCTCAGCCCCAAACGGGGATTTCCCGAGGATTTCCTGCAGCACAAACCCCGTGGAGGTGACAATTCCCACATCCCTGCCCCAGGGAATGCTTTCCTGCCCTGGCCATCACCATCCCCACGGCTCCCACATTTATCCCAAACCACAGCAACTTTTTTAGGGTTTTTTTTTAGGTTTTTTTTTGGTTTTTTTGGGTATTTTTTTAATGTTGTCTCCAAGCCTGCAGGGAACACCTGGAATAACTCTGGGAGCTCTGTCACCACCTCACCCCAAACCCTCTTTCCTGACCTTTCCATCCCTTCCCACCTCTCCCTCTGCTTGGGAGCTTGGGGGATGCTCCAGGGGAAGGTGAACTCCAATTTTCATTCCCAAAAAGTCCAAAAAAAATCCAAAATTCCTTCAGCCACCCCACAGAACCCCTCAGGCTGGGGGGGATCCCCAAGGATCAAATCCCACAGGAATTCTTGAGGCCAAGAGCCTCCCAAGCTCCTTTTTCCTGGGATTTTAAAGCAGATTTCCTAATTTAATTCACCTTCAGGAATTCTTGAGGCCAAGAGCCTCCCAAGCTCCTTTTTCCTGGGGTTTTAAATCAGATTCCCAAATTTGAATTCACCTCCGCACAGCAGCATCCCCCAGCTGGGACATTGCTGAGCCTCTGGAGCTCCTCAAAGTCCTCTGCAGCTCTTTAGGGCTGGCACAATTAAATTTTGTCATCCCAAATGCGTGGGGCAGACCCTGCTGCAGGCAGGTAAAGGACACCAGACCCAATCCAGCAGAACGTCCCTAAATCCTCTCTTTTACACCAAAACTCCTCAGCCCCACTTCCCCCATGAACCTTTATCCCCAGAGATGATTTTGCACACACAGCACCCTGAAATTTCAGATTTTTTTTTACATTTTTCCCACATTGCAGGCAGGGGAATGAGCTCCACCTGAATTTCCTGTGCTTTTATTCACAAATTTTTTTGGGGTTGGCAGCAGGTCTCCCAGTCAGTGCAAATGAGCAAATTCTGTTAATTGATGATGTGGAAAGCAAATAGGATTGAGCAAAAAGCATCAGCTTTCTGCATCGGTTTGGTGTCCTATTCCCAAAGAAAAGAGGGATCTGTTTTAGGAAAATAGGAAAAGCTTTGTGAATTGGACAAAAAAAACCAAACCAAACCAAAAAAAAAAAAAAAAAACAAAAAAAACCAAAACAAAACAAAACAAAAAAAAACAAAAAAAAAAAAAAAAAAAAACCCCAAAAAAACAAAAAAACAAAAAAAACCCAAACCCCCCCCCCAAACCAAAACAAAACAAAAAACCAAAAAAAAAAAAAAAAAAACCACCAAAAAACCAAAACCAAAAAGCTTAAAAAAACCCCCAAAAACCCCAAAAATCCCAACCCCAAAGTATTTAATTTAGGTCACATTAAATAAAATTAGTTCAATGCCATTTTTCCCCAGCTGGGCTACAGGAAACTGCTCTACCACCAAGACACCTTTTATAAACACAACCTCAGGCTAACTTCCCAAAACCCCTCCCCACAAAAAGAGAGTATAAAATAAATTATGTTTTCTAAGGAACTGACCACATGGAGCTTCCCACAAACAGATCAGGAGGAAAAGCAACGCCCAAAATCCTCCCCAAAAATGGGATTTTTAATGGTGACACAGCCAAGGCCGGGCACTGCAGCCCCCAGGCCCCAGCAGGCAGGGAGCTGGCTCTGGATCTTCCCCTGGAACAGCAGAGAGCAGCCAGAAAAATGAATATTTTTAGGTGCTGAACAGGATTGAACTCCCCCCAGGCTGAACAAACCCACGTGGGAAGCGGCTCTGCCCACGGACCTGCTGCTGTCTGAGCTCCCTGCTGCAGGATCCTGGGCCACCAGCACTGCCAGGGCACCCCCAGAACTGCCAGGGGACACACCCAGGACACCCCCAGACCCATCCAGGGCACCCCCAGCACTGCTAGGGCACCCCCAGGACACCCCCAGACCCATCCAGGGCACCCCCAGACACACCCAGGGGACACCCAGAACTGCTGGGGGACACCCAGACCCACCCAGGGCACCCCCAGGGGACACCCAGCACTGCCAGGGCACCCCCAGAACTGCCAGGGGACACCCAGGGCACCCCCAGACCCATCCAGGGCACCCCCAGGGGACCCCCAGAACTGCCAGGGCACCCCCAGACACATCCAGGGCACCCCAGACACACCCAGGGGACCCCCAGCACTGCCAGGGGACCCCCAGGGCACCACCAGACCCATCCAGGGCACCCCCAGAGGACCCCCAGACCCATCCAGGGGACATCCAGCACTGCCAGGGCACCCCCAGAACTGCCAGGGCACTCCCAGCCCTACCCAGGGGACCCCCAGACCCATCCAGGGCACCCCAGACACATCCAGGGCACCCCCAGGCACACCCAGGGCACCCCCAGAACTGCTGGGGCACCCCCAGAACTGCCAGGGCACCCCCAGACACATCCAGGGGACCCCCAGACACATCCAGACACTGCCAGGGCACCCCCAGATCCATCCAGGGGACCCCCAGAACTGCCAAGGCATCCCCAGGCACACCCAGGGCACCCCCAGACCCATCCAGGGGACCCCCAGCATTGTCAGGGCACCCCCAGCCCTATCCAGGGCACACCCAGGGCACCCCCAGAACTGCCAGGGCACCCCCAGGCACACCCAGGGCACCCCCAGCACCGCCAGGGCACCCCCAGACCCATCCAGGGCACCACCAGGGGACCCCCAGAAGTGCCAGGGCACCCCCAGACACACCCAGGGCACCCCCAGGGGTGCAGAACCAGGGGTGGACAGACGGACAGATGGACAGGGAACAGATCTCGCCTGGAGATGCTGATCCCTCCCTGACCCCTCTGCGGGTCCCTCCCGAGATTCCACCCTTGGAATTTCAGCCTGGCCTCACCAACCTGTTGATTTCCCACTTCCATTTCACCCACGGTGACATCAGAACTGAATTAATTCTGTTTTTTTTTTTTTTCTCTCTTTCCTGGGGATTACTCCAGCACCAAACCCCCCTGGGATATTTCCTCTTCCCCAGGTTTAGCAGCTAAAAAACACCCAGGACAAAAAAAAAACTTCCCACCAACAAAGGAATAAATCCTATGGGGATAAGGAGCAAAACTAATCACACAAAAAAAAAAAAAAATCAAAAAACAACTGTGTCAAAGCACGAAGATTTCAACAAAATATTAAATAAAATAAATTACTAATCAGGAAATCTGACAAGTGCTACCTCGGAGTGGATGGGAGTGACAATATTTCACTTGAAGGCAAATTCCTCTGAGCAAGGAAGGCCTGGATGGAGAACAGAGAAGGAATTTCCTTGGGTCTACCCAAAAACATCCTCCTGCCCAGGTGCCCTCAGCTGCAGAGCTCCCGTCCCATCCCGGGGTTTACAAGGAGTGGTTCTGTCACCAGGGCAGCTCTCACTGAGAGTTACAATAGCAGAGCCAGTCAGCACCAGAGAAATTCAAAACCACGGGGTTGAAGAACCTTTAAAATGCTGCTTATAGATATAATTCTATCTTTTTGTGAAAGCATCACAGCCCTCTCCCCATCCAGGCAGCCTCTCCATGAGGCCTCGGCTCCCAGGGTTGTGTCTGGTCCTGCTCCAAATTCAGCTGGGTTTTTTGGTTTTTTTTTTTTTTGCTGCAATCCCAAAATTTGGCAGCAAATCTCCCCACGGGACCAGCATCACCCACCTGCTGGGATCCTGCTGAGATCCAAAAGGATTCCTGGGGAAATTCCCAGAAATTCCCACTTCTGAACCCTCCCATTGGGAGGGGACGCCAGGAAAGAGCCTGGAATCCTCACTCGGAGCAAAATTCCTTCATTTCAAATCTCTGCCTCTGCTTCCCAGGCAGTGGGATTGGCTTGAAGAGCTGACATTTGATTATTTTTTTCAGGGATTTTGAAGATTTCCATCTGCATTTTAATGCCCCCACTCAAATCCAGGTGGGATCGGGATCTCAGCTCAACGTCGCTCTCCTAACCTGGAGCACGAGGGGGGAATCTGCAGCTGGGGAAATGATAAATTACTCAACCTTCCCCTCAAAACCAGCGTGGAGCACCAGGGTAAAGATCTCCCGTGGGGAAAGGGGCCCTCAGCAAAGCTCTTTATCCATCAGTGATTGGTTTTGGGCACATTTGAACCGAGGTGTTTGGTACAGGAGGTCCTTGAGGAAGGGAGGTGCCGAGAGAGAAAAAGAGAGTTGGGAAGATTTTAGGATCAGGCTCCAAAAATTAAAAATAAAAAAAAAATCCAGCTGGGTTTGGGTTCCAAAAGAATCCCAGGCACATCCTCCCGCTGCAGCTAAGGAGCCTGAGGTGTCTGGAGGATGTGGAGTGAGGAACCAGTGCCCAAAATCATTTCCCATTCCAGCCAAGCAATGCCAGGCCCCTCATGCCCACCAAACTCTGCTTTCCAAGCCAACCCCCAGAGCTCCACTGTCCTTCCACACCATCACCTGGAATTTGGGTCAGGAGAGGGCGAAAACAAACCCAAAGCCAAGCAAACCTTTCAAAGCTTTCAGGTCAAGGATTGGCCACGAGAGGGTTTGGGTGAGCTGGGAACCTCCCTGGAGCTCCCAGCACAAACCCCTCAGGAGCCAGGAGCTGCAGGTGTCCTAGAGAAGAGATTCTGAATCCTTTGCTGCTCAGGCTGGAGCTCACAGATTCAACAACAACAACAAAAAAAGTTAATTTCTAAGCAGAATTTGTAGAATTTTCCTTTTTTTTTTTTCTTTTTTCTTTTTTTTTTTTTTTGACGTCTCCAATTCTGGGTCTGGAACTGTTGCTTGATTTTTCTTTTTTTTTTTTTTTTTGTTTTTCCCCCACAACACTTCAGCAGAGCAGGGAAAATTTTGGAAGTGCAATACTAGGAGAGCTCCCGGCCAGGCTGCTCAGTGTTCATGTTGACAATTGATTTTGTCTTCAGAGTGCTCCAAAAAATCCAGCATTTCCTCTATGATGGCCTGCAGGGCCCGGCCCAGCTGTTCTGCAGAGTAAGGTTTCCCCAGAGGAGGCACGTGGACAAATGCTGACCTCCCATGGCTCTGGTACAAGGAGGTGTAGTAGGTGAAGTCACAGAGGTACCTGGAACACAGATTATTCAGTGAAAAAATTATTATTATTATTATTATTATTATTATTATTATTATTATTATTATTATTATTATTATTATTATTATCATCATCATCATCATTATTATCATTATCATTATTATCATCATTATAATTATCATTTATAATATTATAACATAAATATATATAATATATTTATTATTATTATTAATTTTCACAGATTATTCAGTGAAAAAAAATGGGAAAAAAAAAACAGATAAAATGAGCTGTAGGGTCCCCATCATTCAGCATCGTGGTGCCATCCTGGGATTTATGGGCAGGAATTGTGAGTCTGGGATTGTTTTAATTCAATTTAGGACAAGAAATGTTCAATTTAGGACAAGAAATGTGACAAGAAATGTATCCTTTTTATTTCAAAATAAAAAGGATAAAACTAGATAAAATGAGCTGTAGGGTCCCCATCGTTCAGCATCATGGTGCCATCCTGGGATTTAGGGGCAAGAATTGTGAGTCTGGGATAGAAATGTGAAGATCTCTGCTCTTTTTTTTTTTTAAAAAATTAAAAGGATAGAACTAGATAAAATGAGCTGTAGGGTCCCCATCATTCAGCATCATGGTGGCATCCTGGGATTTAGGGGGATGCGAGGCAGGAATTTTTATAAAGTTTTATATATACATTTTAATATATATAAATATATAAAAATATATATATGAATATATAAAAATATCTTTAAAAATATATATTAATGTATATAAATATCTATAAAAATATATATGAATGTAAATAAATATATATAAAAATATATATGAATATATATAAATATATATGAAATATAGATGAATGTAAATAAATATCTATAAAAATATATATGAATGTAAATAAATATATATAAAAATATATATGAATATATATAAATATAGATATAATTTAAATATATATATGTTAAAAAGCTGGTTGAGAAGGGCACTGGAGTCAGGTGGCTGCTTAGTGAAGGAGCCAGTGCTCCGAGGAGCTGCCCACGAGAGAGCACCAAGAAGGTGCGAGACCTCTGCAACAAGGAGACAGCAGCACGGAACCCCTGCACCGAGATGCCAACAGCCCACACCTGCCAGCGTCCTTGGAGATGGTGACAGTGACATCCAGGCCCAGGGCAGAGACCCTGCTGCTGACGGCGTCCATGTCGATGATGGAGTCGATGCACTCGGGGCCGCCCTCCACGCAGCACTGCGAGCCCGGGCAGAAGCGACAGTTGTCCAGCCCCTTGTAGCCCACGTTGTGGCCACACTTCTCCAGGGTGACAGTGGTGGCCATGCCCGACACGCCCACGTGGACCACCAGCTGCCAGGGGAGAAGGGACGGGGCTGGGTTGTGCAAAATCCCGATCACGGAGTCACAGAATCCCAGAATCACTGAATCCCAGAATCCCAGAACCACAGAATCCCAGAATCCCACAGCCACAGAATCCCACAGCCACAGAATCACTGAATCCCAGAACCACAGAATCCCAGAATCCCACAGCCACAGAATCCCACAACCACAGAATCCCAGAACCACAGAATCCCAGAATCACACAACCACAGACTAACGAGGTTGGGAGAGACCTCTAAGGTCACCGAGTCCAGCCTGTGCTGGGATGGTTAAGAATTGTTTTGATCATTCTCTGAGGTTCAGAAATAATACCCAGAAATATTCTTGGGAAAAACTGTGCCTTGCTTTTCTCTGTGAGGAGAAATGTGGGGCTATTTCCTGACAGGCCAAGGAACCAAACCACCCTCACTGTGGGTGAACAATCCCCACATTGCCTTCTGCTGTGGCACACACACAGGCACAGCAAATGAGATGAGAATTGTGTTTTTCCTTTCTCTGAGGTTCAGAGAATGTGAAACCCAGAAATATTCTTGGGAAGAATTGTGCCTTGCAGTGGCCCCTTCACACCCACTGCTCCCGGGAGCTGCAGCACTCCGAGATGTAAAATCCTACAAATTCCTCACCACAAAAGAGGAAAAAATCCAGCCAGGGATTGCCAGGCTGAGGGAATACATGAAAAAGGAGACTTCACATGGTGCCCACTGCAGGTCCAACCCTTGGCTGGGTGGCTTTTTCCTCCTCCCTTGACTCACTCACTTGGGGACTGTGCTTCTTCCACAAGGCAGGAATGAGTCTCTGCACGGTCTGGTACTCAACAGGGACCTCATAGACGTGCAGATCCACATCATCCCTCAGCCCCAGCTTCTCCAGCTCCTAAAAACACCAGCAAAGCAAAACCAAGATGGTCAGACACAGGTGAGCACAAGATTTACCCCTGGAAGGCTCAACGGCAGGGTGAGGAGCCAACACACAGTTTACACCAGGTTGTGTAAGCTCGTAAACAGCACCTGCAGCGAGTTCACAGCAACGTAAAAACCCCAAACCCATAATGGCAACAACAAAGGCATCTCCCCACCTGTGTGGAAGAAGAGTTTCACCCACAGAACCGTTTGTGTGGCTCTGATGGGTGTGTGACAAAGAAATCAACATTTAACTGACAATAGTTACCAGCAACACCCACGCTTGCCAGGGAAACCTTGGCTCTGATATTTATAGAGGGAGACAGCCACAATCCTGCTTCTTCCAAGGAGTGAAATGTGGGGAAGCTGGGACTGGCAGGGTTTTATCCATCACCCAGAGTAATTTCACATTTATTTCCAGATAAAGAGCTCTCAGGGCTGTGGTGATTCAGCGAACCCAGTAAATGATTTCTCCCTCTCTGCCATGAAAACATCCCAAATATCCTGGCAATAAACGGAGCCAATTTCCTCCAAACCTTTTCAAACACAAAGTGGCTGTTAAATACCTTGCAAAGACTTTAAAACCAGAGGAAAGGGTTTGTTTATTTTATTTTCTCCCCAGTATTTCTGACTGGAAAGTTTGATCCCAAAACTGGGAGCTCCCCCTGCTCTCTCCAGTAAGGCTCCAGTTGGAGCTTTGCTCCTCAGAGCCACCAACCCCAAACTTCCCAGAGCTCAAGGAAACACCCATAAGGTCTGAAACCTCTGAAAAAAAAACCCCAAAAACATCAGCTGAGGCTGAACTTTGGAGCCAGGCAACACCAGGAAAGCATTTTTCCAGTGGGAGAAGAGATCTTGCCCCTCATGTTTAAGGAATCCCTGCAGCATCAAACCCGGACCAAGCTCTCCCCTTGTCACCAAAAATGTCCAAAATACATGTTCCTATGGAGCTGGGGTAGGAACAGGTAAAAGCCATCCAACTACCAAAGGATATTTCAAAATATTCCTGAATTTGTTATCTGAATTTATCTCTTTTTCCAGGTTTGGATTCGGTCACCAGATCCACGAGCTGCTCTTTGAAGCAATTCTCAGGTTTTATTTTCCTCCTTGCAGATCAGCTGTTTTCACTCTCCAGCCTTGTATTCCCCCAGGTTAAAAATTAAAAATTAAAGGCACTTGAAAGGAGAAGACAAGTTGAGGTTTGAGGCCTCCCCCATTTAACGTGAGCAGTGTCCTGCCATCGTTTTTCTGTGTTTTTATCGGCATGAGTGGTTTTCTACTGAGGGAAAAAACACCTTTCACACTTGTACAGCCGAACCACAGGGATGTAACAAGATTTAAGATAACTAAAACAGCCAGAAAGGCCAAAGTGACACCTCCAGAGAGCAGCAGATATGAGCAGGGATGATAAATCACAGGCTCTGGCTCCCAGGGCAAGGCTGATATTAAAGCCTGGCTGTATTGATTAGTGTCTGGCACACTCAGACATTCATTAGCACAGCTGGATGGAAGGGATGCACAAACCTGCACAAATCTGCCTTCAAAACCTTACCTGGAGCCTCAATAAAGGAGTTTACAGATGAGAGTGTTCAGCCACCAGCCAGCCTCTTCAGGGGGAGAATAAACACTTTTTAGGAGTGTTAATAATAATGAGAAGTGAAGGTGAAGGGTTGGGAAGGAAAGAGCTCCTGGGGATGGATTTGTTGGTAGGGAAGGAAGGAAACAGCTCCTGGGGATGGGTTTGGTGGTGAGGAAGGAAAAAGATCCTAGAGATGGATTTGATGGTGGGGATTGGGAACAGCTCCTGGGATGGATTTGATGGTGGGGAAGGGAAGAGCTCCTGGGGATGGATTTGATGGTGGGGAAGGGAAGAGCTCCTGGGGATGGATTTGGTGGTGGGGATTGGGAACAGCTCCTGAGATGGGTTTGGTAGTGGGGATTCAGAAACAGCTCCTGGGATGGATTTGATGGTGAGGACTGGGAACAGCTCCTGAGGATGGATTTGGTGGTGGGGAAGGAAGGAAACAGCTCCTGAGGATGGATTGATTTGATGGAGGGGATTGGGAACAGCTCCTGAGGATGGATTTGGTGGTGGGGATTGGGAACAGCTCCTGGGATGGATTTGGTGGTGAGGACTGGGAACAGCTCCTGGGGATGGATTGATTTGATGGTGGCAAGTTTTGCTGGATGAAAAGAGAACCCTCCAGCCACTTAAACCTTAACTTTACCAGGCCACAACTTTTCCTTTAACCAAGCCCAGCGCTCCATAATGAAGATGTTTGTGACCTTCCCCCCCTCCCTGAACAAGCTCTGCCCCCCAGCCCTGTCCACCTGACAACCAGAGCACACAGAACATGTGTGACCCATTCCCTGACCCCTCCACAATGCTGCTCTTTGTGAGCCTCTAATATCCTTATCAGGTCTGTCTAGACACCCTGACAGCAATTGTCCTTCCTAATGTCAAAATGCACCCTGACCCCTCTCCTCCTCCTCCTCCTCCTCAGCCAGAAGCACTTTAGGGGGGGATGAAGGAGCCCAGCAGCTTCACAGTCCACAGGTCACACCTGTGTCCACACCTAAGTCACAGCAGGGAGGGCAGAAAACCAGTTGAGAAAAGCTCATTTTAGTGCTTTCTTCTTGCAAGTCCCTCCCCAGCAAAAGCTGCACCCATGGGGAAAAAAAATAAAAAATAAAAATCCTGAACTGAAAGATTAAAATGATGAAAACTCAAACCAGCAAACCCAAATTAACACGGAGTGGTTTTTGCTGTGAGCCTTAAAATAAAGCAGAAAGGAATTTTTCTTCCTGCTAATTTTATAGGAAAGCTCTCCCCCATGAGTAAAAACCCAAACATTTCACTGGGGCCTTTTTTTTGGGTGAAATTTCGAAACTTTTCATTTCAGCAGCGCTGTCAGATTGCTGCTGCCACTATTTAAGGTAGCCATGTGTAAAAATCAGTCAGCTTGCAAAACCAGACAGAAATCCAGTGCACTTCCAGGGCAAACTCACACCGTGCCCGCCTTCTGTGGGAGAACCCAAATAAAACCAGGGGCAGTGAAAGCAAAACGAAAAACACAAAAAATAAAAAGGGAGAGAATTTTATCCTCGGGATGCAGCACCATAAAAAGACGTAATAAACCAGAACTAGCCGAGCCCTGGAGCTAGGAAGGATTTAGAAAGATTGTTTAATTGATTTTTCTGCTATTAAAATGCAGATCACAGCGTCTGGGATTCGGGAACTCAGACACGCCTTTGTGTCCCCTCCGCTCCGTGAAGTCCCCGTCTGAAAGTTGCACAATGCCCACCTCAGCCGGGCTCAAAGACATGCTGTTCCTTTTTGTCTGGGCCTCTGGGGGCTGAGACAGGGGAAGGAAAGGCAAATCCTCCCCGCTGCCTCCCAGCTGATGTTTTCACTCACAATAATCCCGACCCCGAGCCTCCGGTTTGTACTCAAAACATCCCCAAGGTCTGCGTTTGGACACTCAAAACATCCCCAATCCACTCAAAACATCCCCAGTTCTGAGCTCACCCACTGAAAACATCCCAAATCCACCCCAAATATCCCCAGTTCTGGGTTTAGACACTCAAAACATGGCAAATCCACCCCAAACATCCCCAATTCTGAGTTTATCCACCCCAGACATCCCCAATTCTGAGCTTACCCACTGAAAACATCCCCAATTCACCCCAAACTTCCCCAATTCTGAGTTAGCCACTCAAAACATTCCCAGTTCTGAGTTTATCCACCCCAAACATCCCAAATCCACTCAAAACATCCCCTGTTCTGAGCTAACCCACTCAAAACATCCCAAATCCACCCCAAACATCCCCAATTCTGAGTTTATCCACCCCAAATATCCCAAATTCTGAGTTTAGCTAATCAAAACATCCCAAATCCACTCAAACATCCCCAATCCACTCAAAACATCCCCAATCCTGAGTTTATCCACTCAAAACATCCCCAATTCTGAGTTAGCCACTCAAAACATCCCAAATCCACTCAAAACATCCCAAACTCTGAGTTCAGCCACTCCAAACACCCCCAATTCTCAGTTTATCCACCCCAAACACCCCCAGTTCTGAATTTTGCCATCCCCCAAGCCCCTAAAAACGGATTTTAGACGGAGGGGATGACTTCACCCATCAGCCACACAGCTGAGCAGCCGCCTCTCCGCCTCGAGCTGTTTCTCTTTAGGTTTGTTTATTTTTATTTTTTTTTTTCCAAGCAACATCTCAACACCCACCACTCCTCCTGCTCCAAAAGCACCCTTTTGTCTGTCTCCTCTAAAATAAAAGCAGCTTTTTACAACAGCTGACACCACCTCAGCCAGAGCAAACCAAATCACTGAGCCTCACTTCTGAGTTTTAGGAACGTCCTGTATTTTGTTTTTTTTTTTCCCCCACCATCCACAACCTGCATATTCCTCCAAACTGACCCAAACTTAAATAAATTCATTCCCAAAAGAAGCTCTTGGAGGCAAAGGTTTTGGTCTTCTCCCACCAGCCAACACATGAGGCAGCTGGACATGAGTTGGCTGTAATTGATTAGAGTTTGTGATTTAATTTAAAAGCATTTGGAGGAAGATATTAATCTCAGAGCTCTGAAGGGGAGAGAGATGTGGTGGGGAGAAAAACAGATTTAATTCCCTGGGCAACTGTACTAAAAGGTACCATGGAATTCTGCCACAAACCCCATCCAGAAGTGACAAAGAAGGAGGAAGTGGGATAATGTGGCAGCACCACCCCTGTGAAAAGTGTTTTTACAGCAAAAAAAAAACCCCTTAATTCCATCAAAAAGAGCTCAACTTCCTCTTCTTGCCCCATTTGTGGGGTGTCAGCCTCACCCAGATGAACTCCTGGGCTCGGGGTGGGGATTTTGGGGTGTCCCGTGCACGGCCAGGAGTTGTTGGATGATTCCCTCCCAGGATATTCCAGATTTCAGGGATGTGCCCGGGCAGGCACAGAGCTGCAAGTGGCAAAAAGCTGATTTTCCTGAGCAGGCAGGAGAAGCATTTCCCCAGCAACTCTCCCGGGCAGAGAAGGGAGCGTTCAGAGGGGGAAATGAGGCAGCTCTGGGATCAGACTCTGGCACTCAACTCCTCCAGAGTCTCCTCTCAGGGATGAGGCCGGGTTTAAAGGTGAACCAGCTGGCCCAGCTTCAGGTCAGAGCTAAGAGAAAAAACACCCAGATTGCTCTGGGCTGGTTTGTTTGTTTGGAATTCTCCGGGGCAGAGGAAGATTCCAAGCTCCCTGCCCCATTTAAAAAGCACCCGAAGCTGGGAATTCCTTAATTCCTTACTTGCCTCAGCTACATTAACTCAGCCTCATTAAACTCCACCAGCTCAGGGAGTGTTTTCTGAGCAGGGAATCAAACATTATCCAGCTGACCATCTGCAGAGAGCTCCAGGAGAAGTTGTAAGTGACAAAAAGAGCTGAAAGCAGCCCAAATTTGTAGGGATTTGTCCTCTGTTTTGACACCTCCCAAGAGGAAAATTCAGGGGTTACCTGAACTGCAATCCAGCTGGCGTTCACAGCGTGCTCTCCAAACGGCCCAAACCCTGCAAGGGAAGAAAAATTCATGGATTTGACTCAACTTGAAGCTGCAAAGAGGTTTGAGCTTTCCTGGGGAAAAAAAAAACAAACCAAAAAACCTCCACTTCTACCTCTCAATCCTTATTTCTTTACACCTGAGTATCAAACAAGCCACCTGCACTAAAATATTTCAACTCCAGGCTTGGACAGTGAAGGAAAACAATAACTTGCTTGAAAAGAAACTTGTTTTTCTTTTCTTGGGGAGGAGAATTCTCCTTCCTGCCCAGGTTAGAAAAATTGGTTATTACCAGCTAACTTGCCCAATGGCACAGAATTAGAATCATGATTGGATTTTCTATTCCTGATTGCTTCAGCCCACAGCAGATGCTTCCACAAGCCTGCCTCAAATGTTCCTTCTCCGCTCAGGGTCCTCTCCAAGATCTTCGTTAGCATTAATTACACCTCCCAAGGAAACAAACAGAGCTGTTGACAGCCCACCCACAGCCCAGCAAAGGCTACCAGGGTGTTATCAAAACCACTTCCTTCAGCACCTCCAAATTCCTAATGAATAACTTTGGAGTTAACTGGTAATCCATAATATCTTTTTATTATTATTTTTTTTTTCTCTCTCTCCCTGAGCAAGCACACAAAGGTTGGGCAATTTATCTGGGTGTAACGTCGATATGCTTTCATTTCAGATGTCAGCCTTGCCCTCCGAGCCTGGTGCAATTAGGAGACATTAATTCTGCCCAGCCAGGTGAGGCTGCACCTCAGCAGGAATTTCCCAAGCGCGGGGCTCGTCCCCGCCCGTGGATCTCAACCCAGCTCTCCAAAATAAATATTCCCACAAAACCCAAAATGCCGGGGGTGTTTTCCTGTGAGCAGAACTGCAGGGGTGTGAGACAAACCATGACAGGGGAAGGAGGCAAATTAATGCCTTCCCAGCTGTTTCTGCGAGTCCCACACGGCTCCTTGGAGCTGAATTCCCAAATAGAGCGTGACAATCCCATAAAAGAAACGAAATCCACGTTTTAACAACTCAGCCGGGGGAAAGGCTGAAATTCCACAGGTGCCCAGGCACAGGGCAGGGTTCCCTTGCTCCAAATTCCAAATCCGAGTGGCACAAACACAGCTGGGGCTATCCCTGCTCTGCCTCATCTGGGAACAGGGGGAACTTTGTGGGCAGCACCCGAGCCCACGGAGCACATCCAGCCCCGCAAGGCTCATTAGCACTAAAACCAGCTGCAGGGGATGGCCGTGGGATTATCTCCTTAACGAGCTCTAAAAAAGAAATTGTGCACAAATAACGTTTATCCTCGGCCAGCCCGGGCTGGGGGGGACCCACAGGGAACACGACACTGTCCCCAGTCCTGAACTGGGAATTCCACCCGAACATCCACGGAGTTATCGAACAGGGGGCACAGCCCACGAGGCAACCGCTGCTTTCTTTGCAGCCAGACTTCGCTGAAATTTACCAAAAAAAAAAAGGGAAAAAAAAAAAAAAGAGCGTGGAGGAGCCTTGAGCAGCAAGCAGAAAAGCAGAACGTCTCCTGACGCAAGTTTTCTGTTTAGTCACCGCCGCTCCACGCTGGATTTGGGGCTGGGAAAGGCAGGATCCGCCACCTGCTCCCTGCGAAAAGGCACTTTCTGCCCGTGGTTTCTGCTATTCAAACGGCCTCAGCTTCAGCTGCCGGGGGGAGACCTGAATAGTTTGGGCCAGTTCCCCATTTGTCACAGGACGGCCTCACCCACAAATCACCCCGAGCTGCCTTTGTACCCCGGGGCGAGGCTGACACCGCCGGGGCCTCTCGCTCATTCTTCCCCTCCAGCGCCTCGGGGCTGCTTTGGGGAGCAGCTCCCACACCTTGGGGGCTCAGGGTGGGGTGTTCAGAGCGGGATTCCCCCCTCCCTGCGCCCCAAATCGGTTTTCCTGCTCCTTGGGAGGATCGATTCCCTTCTTCTGGCGACGAGCAGACCTTTGGGATGGGGTCACGCATGGAAAAAGGGGATCCAAGCGCCAGCTGGGTGGATAAATGCTAGAAAAGCCCCTCACTGCTGTACCCCTGAGCCAAAGCCCCCCAAACTCTGCCCTGCACCCCATTTATCACCCTACACAGGGGGCAGTCCCCCCAAAACAGCCCCCCGAGGGGACAGCCCCCAGTCCCCATTCAGTCCCCCCATGATGGGACAGCGGACCCCCCTCTCACCCTAGGGACGGGATCCCCCACTTATCTCAGGGAAGAGGTCCCCAAGTGCCCCCTCCAAGCCTTGTGGTGAAGGGGTCCCCAAAATTCCCCATCACACAGAAGCGGCCCCTCCAAGCCCCCCGTCAATTCGGGGAGGGGTCTCACCCCTACCCCCGGCCACTTTAGTCAGGAAAGGATCCCCAAAGCTGCTCCTCGGCGCAGAGCAGGGGTCCCCCAGCTGCGCCCCCAGACCCTTTAACCCCCCCAGCCCTGCCCTTCCCTGGCAGCCCCCCCTCAATTGGGGAAGGGCTCCCCCAAAACTGCCCCGGCAGGGACGGGGTCCCCCGGTAACCCCCCCCCCATTTCCCCTCTCGCCGCCCCGTACCCGTCACCACCACCGCCCGCCGCGGCTTCTCCATCGCGGCTCCGTCCCGTCCGTCCCGTCCCGTCCCGTTTGTCTGTCTGTCTGTCCGTCCGTCTGTCTGTCCGTCCCGTCCCGCCGCCGCCGCCCCGCACTGAGCGCGGCCCCGCCCCGCGCCGCCCGCCCCGCCCCGCGCCGCCCGGACCCGCCGCTTCCGCCGCCGCGGCGGAAGTCCCGCAGCGGGACGGCCTGGAGCCCTTCACCCGTTACCGATCACCGGGAGCGCCCGTGCGCGGCGCAGCCCGAGGGGTTCCCGCTCCCCCGCCTCAGCGGCGGGACTCGGGGGGGGGGTTTGGTTAAATAAAACGCTCACCCTGCGCCTCGCGGGGGTTCCCTGCCTGGCTGTGGGGCAGCACGAAGCGCGGCCGCGGTACCGGGAGGTGCGGAGCGCATCCCGGCGCGGCCAGTCCCGGGCGGTGCCGCCGCAAAGGCGCGGACCGGGCGGCGCGGCGCGGCCGGGCCGTGATCCGTGCTCTGATTGGCTGCTGCGGGACCGCGCCGCGTTCTGATTGGCTGCGGCGGGACCGCGCCGCGCTCTGATTGGTCCCGCGCGGAGTTGGGGGCGGTTTGAGCGGCAGCGCCCGGCGCGGCGGCGGCTCCCGGTCCGGCACGATGGTGAGCGGGGCACCGGGAACGGGGGGGAACGGGGAACCGGGCTCGGGAGGAGGCTGGAGCGGACGGGAGGGCCTGGATCATCTCTTCCCCGCCGTCCGGGATGGCGTGCCCGCTGCCCCGCTCGGTGCTCGGGTCGGTGCCCCGGCCGGTGTCCCGTTGCCGGTCGGTGCTGAGGCCTTTCTCCTCTCTTCCCTCCGCAGCTGCCCCTGTCCTTGCTGAAGACGGCGCAGAACCACCCCATGGTGAGTACGGGCCGCGCGGCCCAGCCACGCTCCCCTCTCCGGTACCGCGCGGGTGGCCCCGGGCACGTCCCGGTACCGGCGCCCCGTGACCGCCGTTCTCTCGCAGCTGGTGGAGCTGAAGAACGGGGAGACGTACAACGGGCACCTGGTGAGCTGCGACAACTGGATGAACATCAACCTGCGGGAGGTTATCTGCACATCACGGGTAAGGCTGGAGCACCGGCACCGGTACCGGGCAGGGCTCGCCCAGGCAGGGTCCGCGGGGAGCACCGGGGGCAGACAGGACTGGCACCCCCGATCTGTCCCCAAAGGTTCCCCAGCTCTGTCCCCGCAGCCAGGCTGGCTCTGCTGTATTCACATCGCTCCTATGGAGGGGTGACCTCTGCCTGAGATGCAGATTTAATGTAATTATTAATAATGCCCATTTAATTATTGATAGTGCCCATAATGAAGGAGCAGCCTTGTGTAGGTGCCCCCTCTCTGCACATCACAGGATGAGGAGTGGGGGGCCACGTGCTGTGATGCTGATCCGGGTTTCCCAAAAACCAGAGCCTTTACCTGTCCCAGGCAGCCTCAAACACCACAATCTCTTTTATTCCCTCCAATCTCTTTTATTCCCTCTCCACATCCAGCTGAGTTCACCCACTGAGATGAAGGGCACCTTTGGAAGGTCTGTGAGCTTTGCCCTTGGCCAGAGCTGCTCCAGGAGATTGGGATCTGTGTTTTGGGCTTTGACCCCCGCCAGAAGTGTCCGGTGTGGTCCCTGTGGGCAGCGCAGATGGGTGGAAGCCCAGCTGCTGTTGTGCTTTCCCAGCCCTGGAACGGCAGGGAGAGGCTGCCAGGGATCCTCGTTCTCCCAAAAATCCCCTGCAAACCCCCCCAGTTCCCGCTGTCTCCAGGACCGGAGTGTGGAGTGGTGTTGCTGGGGCACACCAGTGTGACGGGGGAGACACCCTGAGCGAGGTTTGCAGGGAATTTTGGGCTGGAATTTAGGAATTTGTGGCTGGGTTTTGAGTGATGGTGGGACGAGGAACCGCTGTTGAATTTAGTGGGAGGGGGACTCGGAGGAGGTGACAGCACAGTCAGGAGGACACAGGTGATGATTCCCTTCTCCTTGGGAATTTGCTTCCAAAGGCTCAGTGCTCTGCCTGGGAAGAGCAGCAGCTCAGGTTTTATTGGGAGGGATCATCCAGAAGGATGTGGAGATGTTGGAGCAAGTCCGGGATGAGCAGAGAGGGATGGAGCAGCTCTCCAGTGGGAAAAGGGAACTGGAGAAGCTTTGGAGTCACCTCAAAGGGCTGAAAGGGCTGACAAAGGCTGAAAGGGCTGACAAAAACATGGAGAGAAACTCTGGACAGGGGATGGAATGACAGGACACAGGGGCAGGGCAGGGTCGGGTGGGATTTTGGGAGGGAATTCCTCCCTGTGAAAGTGGTGGAGGTTTGGGATGAGATTCCCAGAGCAGCTGTGGGATTGTGCAGATTGTGTCCCCATCCCTTGGACACAACCCAGCGTTGTCCAGGGCCGGGCTGGACAGGGCTTGGAGCCACCCGGGACAGTGGGAGGTGTGGAACTGGGACCACCTTTGGTTCCCAACCCAAACCACTCCACGATTCCACCACCCTATGACCCCGGCACGCAGGGGGAGCAGCCTCATCTGCCTCCAAACACCCCCAAACCCCGGCTGGGGATGGAATCTGCTGGTGGCACTGGTGGCCCTGGCCGCTAGATGGCACGGGACAACGAGCCGGGAGCCTCTTGTTTACCCGGGGCAGCCCGGAACGAGGAAGGAGCCGGGAGCTCCATCCCTTCCTGCATCCGAGCCAAGGAGCAGCCGGGCACATCCCAGGCAGGGCGGGGTTTGCCGGTTCTGTCTCTTGGAAGGGAATTTTGTTGCTCCTCTGCCTCGTCCTGGGCTTGCCCGTGCAGGCAGAGCTGCCCCAAATGGTAATAATAATAATAATGGTGATGAGAGGAGCTGCTGTGTTGGGGAAGATGGAACAGGAAAGCCTTATAAATGTGATTGTCTGGCAAAAGATTTGGAGAATATGGAAACTGTAAGCGAGATTGAAGTGAAAGCAAGCTTTGAGATCCCTCAGTTACTGAACAACGGGAAAACAATGGTGTGGCTGGTTGAAAGTAATCTCCTTTTGATGGAACAACACCCTCTGTCTGCAGACAGCTCCAAGGCTCAGAGCAGACCCTGCCAGCTTGGCAGAAGGGGCCCAAAGAGGAGTTTTTAGGGTTTAAAATGTGACCCAGTGTGGTAATGTACCATACAGGCTGTATGGAAATGCTATAGGATTTGTGCATTGTACTAGATTGGTTAGTGAGAATTAGAATATTCAGCACAGAAGAAGATTTATGGTATTGGAACGGGAACCTCGCTCTCTTCGCTCTCTTGCCTTTTACTCTCTTAGCCCCTTTTACTCTCTTAGCCCCTTTTACTCTCTCACCCTCCCATCCTCTCTCCCCTCTCTCCTCTCAGTCCTGCTCCAGCCGTGCCTGGCAGCTCCCAGCAGGGCCCTGCACCCAGGCCCTTTGCAATAAATGCCATTTCCTCCACCTGGCTGCAGGGATCTCTGCCCTGCGCCCGCGCTGCCCCCGATGCTCCGGCTCTGCTGCATCCCCAGGGAGCAGCACGGGGCGTGCTGGCTGCACCTCCCCTCCTGGGACACTGCTGCACATGGGGAGGGCTGGGCTGGAGCCACCCCAGCTGCAGCCAGGCCCTGCTGGAGCCGGCTCCCAGCCCTCCTCCCACTGACATCATGGCCAGAGAGTTGTTGTTCAGCCCTGGGTTCTTGTTCCTGCAGCCCTGAGTTGTTGTTCAGCCCTGGGTTCTCGTTCCTACAGCCCTGAGTTGTTGTTCAGCCCTGGGTTCTCGTTCCTACAGCCCTGAGTTGTTGTTCAGCCCTGGGTTCTCATTCCTACAGCCCTGAGTTGTTGTTGTTCAGCCCTGGGTTCTCGTTCCTACAGCCCTGAGTTGTTGTTCAGCCCTGGGTTCTCGTTCCTACAGCCCTGAGTTGTTGTTCAGCCCTGGGTTCTTGTTCCTACAGCCACTCGCTGAAACCCTGCTGGGTTGAGCCCATGGTATCCCAGGAAAACCCTGAAACTGCCTGAAAACAACACAGGGAGGTGGCTGCTCCAAGACTGGGCACCTGAAGATTTTTATTAAAAAAAAAAAAAAAAAAAAAAAAAAAAAAAAAAATTATTTCTATAATAAATATATAGTAACCCATTGGGTTGACTCCTAGGGAAGGCCATGTTTTCCCAGGAAAATCCTGAAACTGCCTGAAAACAACACAGGGAGGTGGCTGCTCCAAAACTGAGCACCTGAAGATTTTTATTTTTTTATTTAAATAAATATATATAAATATATATTTATATTTATATAATAAATATATAATAACCCATTGGGTTGAGTCCTAGGGAAGCCCATGTTTTCCCAGGAAAATCCTGAAACTGCCTGAAAGCAACACAGAGAAGTGACTGCTTCAAAACTGAGCACCTGAAGATTTTTTATTTTTATTTAAAAAAAAAAAAAAAAAATATATATATATATATATAAAATAACCCATTGGGTTGAGTCCTAGGGAAGCCCATGTTTTCCCAGGAAAATCCTGAAACTGCCTGAAAACAACACAGGGAAGTGACTGCTCCAAAACTGAGCACCTGGAGATTTTAATTTTTATTTTTTTATGTATAAATATATAAAGTGCGAGTCCCTCATTTCCCTCAGCTGCTCTGGAGGCTCCCATCCCACAGCCAGCTGGCTCCAGAGCTGCCTCTCTGCTCCCTCCACACCCCAGAGGAGCGAAGGAGTGGGGTGGCTCCCAGCTGGACAGGAATCCTGGCCACAGCTGCGTTTCTCTTACCAGAATTGGTTTTTCAGCACCATTTTAACTCCTGCCTCTGGTTCCACTTTCAATTCCCCTCTGGTGTGAGAAGGGAAGAAGGGCCTGGTTCCCTCCCCCCTCTTCTTCTGACGTTTTCTGCCCCCGTTTGAGGAACAAATTGAAGTTACAGTTGTCTGTGGGGCTCTGTGTTTTGGGGAGTTAAAGCCTCATTTTTCACAGCTGGTTACAGATAATGCTCCCAGCAATGACTGCTGCAGCTCTCCCCCCCTCCAGAAACGCTCAAAATCCCTAAAAGTGACCCAAAAGCAGCAGGTTTTGCTTGTGGTGACGAGTTCAAAATCCCTAAAAGTGACCCAAAAGCAGCAGGTTTTGCTCATGTTGCTCCCTAACAGGACAGGGACGTGTTAAAAATCCCCAAAAGCGACCCAAAAGCAGCAGGTTTCGCTTGTGGTGACAAGTTCAAAATCCCTAAAAATGACCCAAAAGCAGCAGGTTTTGCTCGCGGCCTCACATTTTGCTCCCCACATGGGACAGGAACAACTTCAAAATCCCTGAAAACGACCCAAAAGCAGCAGAAATCATCAGATTTTGCTCATGTTGCTCCCTAAGAGGACAGGGACGTGTTAAAAATCCCCAAAAGCAGCAGATTTTGCTCGTGGTGACAAATTCAAAATCCCCAAAAGCGACCCAAAAGCAGCAGGTTTTGCTCGCGGCCTCACGTTTTGCTCACCAGACGGGACAGGAACAACTTCAAAATCCCTGAAAACGACCCAAAAGCAGCAGAAATCAGCAGATTTTGCTCATGTTGCTCCCTAACAGGACAGGGACGTGTTCAAAATCCCCAAAAGCAGCAGGTTTTGCTTGTGGTGACAAGTTCAAAATCCCTAAAAGTGACCCAAAAGCAGCAGGTTTTGCTCACGGCCTCACATTTTGCTCGCCAAACGAGACAGGAACAACTTCAAAATCCCTAAAAATGACCCAAAAGCAGCAGAAATCAGCAGATTTTGCTCATGTTCCTCCCTAACAGGACAGGGACATGTTAAAAATCCCTAAAAGTGACCCAAAAGCAGCAGATTTTGCTCATGGTGACAAATTCAAAATCCCTAAAAGTGACCCAAAAGCAGCAGGTTTTGCTCGCGGCCTCACGTTTTGCTCGCCAGATGGGACAGGAACAACTTCAAAATCCCTAAAAACGACCCAAAAGCATTAGAAATCATCAGATTTTGCTCATGTTGCTCCCTAACAGGACAGGGACGTGTTAAAAATCCCCAAAAGCAGCAGATTTTGCTGGTGGTGACAAATTCAAAATCCCCAAAAGCAGCAGGTTTTGATCGCGGCCTCACATTTTGCTCGCCAAACGGGACAGGAACAGTTTCAAAATCCCTGAAAACGACCCAAAATCAGCAGAAATCATCAGATTTTGCTCATGTTGCTCCCTAACAGGACAGGGACGTGTTCAAAATCCCTAAAAGTGACCCAAAAGCAGCAGATTTTGCTCATGGTGACAAATTCAAAATCCCCAAAAGCAGCAGGTTTTGATCGCGGCCTCGCATTTTGCTCGCCAAACGGGACAGGAACAGTTTCAAAATCCCTGAAAACGACCCAAAAGCCGCAGTTTTTTCCCTCCTGTTTCTGCCCACCAGGACGGGGACAAGTTCTGGAGGATGCCCGAGTGCTACATCCGCGGCAGCACCATCAAATACCTGCGGATCCCCGATGAAATCATCGACATGGTCAAGGAGGAGGTGGTGTCCAAGGGCAGAGGCCGTGGGGGGATGCAGCAGCAGAAGCAGCAGAAGGGCCGTGGCGTTGGAGGGGCTGGGCGAGGTAAAAATCTGAATTTTTTTTGGGGTTTGGAGGGGCTGAACGAGGTAAAAATCTGAATTTTTTTTTTGGGGTTTGGAGGAGCTGGATGAGGTAAAAATCTGAATTTTTTTTTGGGGGTGGGAGGAGCTTATTAAGGTAAAGATCTGATTTTTTCTTTTGGGGTTGGAGGAGCTGGATGAGGTAAAAATCTGATTTTTCTTTTGGGGTTGGAGGAGATGGACGAGATAAAAATGTGATTTTTTCTTTTGGGGTTGGGAGAGCTGGACGAGGTAAAAATCTGAATTTTTTGGGGTTGGAGGGGCTGAACGAGGTAAAAATCTGATTTTTCTTTTGGGGTTGGAGGAGATGGACGAGGTAAAAATCTGATTTTTTTGGGGCTGGAGGGGCTGAACAAGGTAAAAATCTGATTTTTTTGGGGGGGTTGGAGGAGCTAGATGAGGTAAAAATCTGATTTTTTGGGGGGGGTTGGAGGAGCTGGATGAGGTAAAAATCTGATTTTTTTGGGGGGTTGGAGGAACTGGATGAGATAAAAATCTGAATTTTTCTTTTGGGGTTGGAGGAGCTGGATGAGATAATAATCAGATTTTTTGGGGGTTGGAGGAGCTGAACAAGGTAAAAATCTGATTTTTTTTTGGTGGGGTTTGGAGGAGCTGAACAAGGTAAAAATCTGATTTTTTTGGGTGGGGTTTGGAGGAGTTGAACAAGGTAAAAATCTGATTTTTTTTTCCCCCTCATCTTGGAGAGGGCAGAATGGGATCCTGCCTTTCTAATTTCCCCTGTTGTGCAAGGAGCAGCTCCTGGAGCTCTGTTTCAGAGCCAGGGCCGAGTCTGGGAGAAGCTGGAGCAGCTCCTGAGCTCAGGATCCAGTCGAGCAGGCGGCCCCTGCCAAGGAACGGGGAGGATTCGTGCCAGGGATGGGCCTCCCTCCCTCCTTCCTGGGGCTGGGCAGGAGCTGTGGAGAGCCTGAGCTGTTCCAGCTCCTCCAGGAGCACGGCCCTGCAGAAATGCGGCTCAGCAAGGCCCAGGGGGAAAACAGAAAAAAAGGCAAAAAAAGGCGGTTCCGGGTGAAAATAGTGAAAATAAACCGGGCTCTGCTCGTGGCAGTGAGGGGGAAAAAAATCATCTTCTCCCCCTTTAAAATGGGGGTTTGGATTTCCTGATTTGTTAATGTATTTATATTTAAAAAAGAAAAGAAAAAAAAGAAGAAGACAAAACTTTGTGAGGGTTTGAGCTGCTCCTGGAAGATGAATAATTCAATAATTCACGTTCCTGATAAAGGGCAGGTTGCCACTTCAGAGGAAATAGGTCACCCAAACAACCCTTCCCATTTCAGGGCTGAGGTGATCCCAGGGCACTCCAGCTGGGCATTTGCTGCTCCTTGTCCCCAAATTATCCCCCTGGAAGCCTGGGAGCTGTTCCTGGGCTCTCCCCTTGTGCCAGGAATCCTGTGCCAGGCCCAGTGGTCTTTCCAAATCTTTCCCTTTATTTATTCTATTTATTTATATACTTATAATCATTATAAATTAAATAAATATATTTATTTAAATATATTTATTTAAATATATTTGATTATATATTTAGATAAATAAATACAATATATAAATATTATAAATATATATAAATATATAAATATAATAAATGAATATATTAAAATAATATATATTTATATTTGTTTATGTATTTAAATATATAAATATAATATATACATATACATAAATATAATATATAAATATACATAAATATAAGAAATAAATATACATCAATATAATAAATAAATATATATAAATATAGTGAATAAATATATACAGTTTCCCGCCTTGCCTTTGCCTTGGCACAGCAGTTTTTAGGATTTTTTGGGGGGATAAACACCAAAACCCTGCTGTTTTCCCTGCTGTGGCAGTGTCCACCTGCCACATATTTCCAAATATTTCCCTTTATTTATTATATTTATCTATGTATTTATATTTATAAAAATAAGATTATATAAATATATTTGTTTATATATTTATATTTATCACCAATATTTATATTTATATAGATGTATTCATACATTTATATTTATTTATTACAGAAGTTCCCCTCCTTGCGTTTTCCTTTGCACAGCAGTTTTTTAGGACTTTTTTTCAGGGGGATAAACACCAAAACCCCGCTGTTTTCCCTGCCTTGGCACAGCAGTTTTTTAGGATTTTTTTGGGGGGATAAACACCAAAACCCCGCTGTTTTCCCTGCCTTGGCACAGCAGTTTTTTAGGATTTTTTTGGGGGGATAAACACCAAAACCCCGCTGTTTTCCCTGCCTTGGCACAGCAGTTTTTTAGGATTTTTTTGGGGGGATAAACACCAAAACCCCGCTGTTTTCCCTGCCTTGGCACAGCAGTTTTTTAGGATTTTTTTGGGGGGATAAACACCAAAACCTCGCTGTTTTTCCCGCTGTGGCAGTGCCCACCTGGTGGGGAGCTCCAAGGTGCAGCTCCTGCTGCTGTTTCCATGGGCAGCCTCAATTTGCTGATGGAATATTTTCAAGGGAAGCTTCAGCATTTGCTAATTAGCTCAAAGGTTTGGCTCCCATTACCGAGACTTGAAGGGAGGAGGGGAAAAAAAAAATAAAACAAATAAAAAAAAAATGAAGGCAGGACAATTTTGTTGGGAGGCCACGGGGCAGGAGGGAAGCTGTAATTGTGCTCACAGTTGAAAGGATTATTGTTTCTGACACTCCTAATCCTCCTCCTTTGACTTCTTGCTTGCCAGACTCACAGGTCCCCAGCCTTTGCTCCAGGAGGAGCATCCCCAGCACTGCAGGCTTGGGAATCATTTAATAATTTATGTTTTGGGCACGTCCCCTCCTCTAGAGAAGCTCGGACTGGGTCTCCTTTGGGCTCTGCCTTTGTGGGGCAGGGTGGATCCAATTTTATCCCCAGGATGGGATTTTGGGGATGAATCTCAGGGCTGGGCTCGGCAGCTCCTGGTTTTGGGGCTGGGGATTTCAGTGCAGCCCCCAAAGCAGCCCCTGCTGTCCTGCGCGCTCTCAGAACCAGGGATTGCTCTGCCCGGGCCTTGCGTTGCCCTCACAGCTCTCAGGGGACGCTTCCCAACCTGGGTTTTGCATTTGCTGCTTCCCTGGTTCCATTTTTTGGGGGAAGAAACCGGAGTTTAGCACGCGATCAGCATTAACCACGGGATGGACAGGCCAGGGAGGTGCTGCTGAGGCAGGGGGAGGATTTATGCACCTCCTAAACAAGGATTTATGCACCTCCTAAACAAGGATTTGTGCACCTCCTAAACAAGGATTTGTGCACCTCCTAAACAAGGATTTATGCACCTCCCAAACAAGGATTGATGCACCTCCCAAACAAGGATTTATGCACCTCCCAAACAAAGGTCTGGGGCTGCAAAAGGAGAAGTCAAAGAGGCGCATTTCTGCTTCTGGGACTCCAAAACGAGCAAGTTTTCGGGGTGCAAGGCGGGTGAGCGAGGCCGTGGGGCGCTGCTGGCTCCCAGGGTGCTGTCACCTGTCCCTCTCTGCTCCCCAGGTGTGTTCGGCGGCCGTGGCCGAGGAATTCCAGGCAGCGGAAGAGGCCAGCAGGAGAAGAAGCCGGGCAGGCAATCAGCCAAGCAGTGAGGGCCAGGGACACTTCGGGTTTTGTCACCTCAGGGCTGCCACGTGTCCAGGAACGTTCCCTTTCCCACTCCTCCGTCAGAACCAGAGCCCAAACCATGCTCCTGTGGAAGCCCCTCACGTGGAGTTTTCCCTCCTTGTAGTCAGTAAATCATTGGAAATATTTTTTAAAAATTCATGGTTAAGGAGCGAGGTTCTGCCTTCTCCTGAGAGTGAGTTTTTTTCAGGCTTACCAGGTTTAATTTAAAATATTTTCCCGTTCAGAGGTACCAGTATGAAGGCAAACACTTTCTGGATTGCTTGGATTTTTTTTTTTTAATTTTTTTTTTTTAATACTTGAAACTTGGGAAACTTGTTTTGTTTGTAACAGATGTGTTTTGGTTTAAAAACACTGAACTTGAGGATGTTGAGTTCGTAATGAATAGTCCTAAAGGTTTGGGGTTTTTTTAAACCAACAAACTTTCAAGCTTTGCTTTTCTTCTCCTGGCCAGTGAGTTCTGTTTCTCCAGTGGCTCAAAGGAGGGATGAACATTGGCCTCCAAGGCTTGTTCCCAAGAGAGCTTTGTGACAAATGAGCATTTCCCAATTAGTTCATCGCTAATTTGACTTCAGATTGGAAGTTTCCTTCAAAGGAACAGGGTTTTTTTTTCTCTGTGGTTTTTGCTGGGTTTTTTTGGGGTTTTTTTTTGCATGAGGCTGATGCACCCCTTATTCTTCATGGGGGATTTAAATTTAATTTTCGAAACATCAACTTGATGTTGATTTACACGGATTTGATTTTGAAAACTCTCTCCCTTCTGCTGTGACACCAAGTCTTGAGCTCTCAGGACATTTCTCAGCCTAATTTCTCCCATTGGTGGCTGGTGATTGACCTCGCTGGCTGTACCTGTCACTTCCTCCCCCTGCCACCAATTACCCTCCCTTGGGGACAGCGTGTGAACGTGTCCCTCCTGCAGCCTCAGAAAACTCCTGGGAATTCCCAGGGCAGGTTACTCCAGTCTTCCATCCCACACACCCTCAGAACATCCTGGCTGGCCCCAGCTGAGCACACGGTGGGGAAGGAACAGCTCTGGGTGTGCCTCAAACCCCCCCCTGGATGGATGAAACAGCTGAATTTTGGGGGGGAAAACTGCTATTGTGACGTGTTTTGAGCAGGTTTGGAGTTTGTCTGACTGGTTCTCATACTGGAGGCTCTGCCATCGCCGCTGTACTGAAAAGGAGTGAAGAACTTGCTTTTATAGACTTATTTTTTTAATGTTTGTAGAACTGGGCACAGTGGTGAGTGAGAATAAAATCTCCAGCCTCTCGCAGCCGCCTCCCTCTGTGTGTCTGTGATGCTGCCCGGGCCCTGAACCCTTCCCTGAGCCCTGGAGCCGGGGATAAATCCCCAAATATTCCATTTCCAACAGCAGCCACGCGTTCCCCGTGGAGCTGTTCCTCAGTGAGGCCGTGAGCAGCGCTCCGTGCTCATCCCAGGGAGCCAATTCCAGGGGAGATGGGGTGATGTGTCCTCCCTGCTGGAAAACTCCTGTGGCATTTTAACAAAGCCCAGGCTGTGTCAGACTTTCCCTTCCCAACCTGCTCCCTCCCTCTGGATCCCTCCAGCCACAGAGGCTCCGTGTGCTGTGGCTTCCCTGCTGGAAAGGGAAACGGCTCCAGCCCTGCTGGGATTTGAGGGCTTTTCTGGCAGGAGAAATCCTCGCTGCAACAATGGGACCTTTGGCTCCAGCTCGGGGTAGAGTCCTCCAAGTGCTCCTTATCTCCCGGCCAAGCTCTGGGGTCAGGTGATGGAGCTCGTTAAGTTCTGCATTTGTTTAATTACCCCACTTTAGCAGCATTCCCTGCCTGCTTCCCCCCTTTTCCTTTTTCCACCTCTGCCAGGGATATTTTTGTCCCCCCACAAAGGGCAGATGGCTCTGTGGAAGGGCATCCATCGCTTCGGGCTTTTCTGCCCCAAAAACGAAACTCTGGGGCTGTCACTGCCCCGTGGCAGTGCAGGGAGGCTGAAAAAAACCAACAACAACAAAAAATGAAACAAAACAGGGAGGAGCGAGATAAAAGCAACAAGCAGAGAGGAGGAGGAGGAGGAGGAAGAAAAGTCTGAGCCTGGCTGCGGGCGTGGGTGGGTGCTGAGCCTGGCAGGGCCAGCGTGTCCCCACGGAAAGACCCAGCAAAGGCCACCCTGGAAACCCTTCCCGGGATATTTTGGGGCCGGCGGGGCTGGTGGCAGCGCTGGGTTCGTGTCTCCGGCTGCCCCACGGTGACTCAGAGCTCCTGAGCCCTGCGAGGAGGCAGCACAGGAATAGTTACACACCAGCGACGCGGAGGGAGTGGCTGCCGAAATATTTCAGGGCTGTGCTAAGCAACTAAAAATACACGTCAAACCCTCCTCCTCCTCCTCCTTTTTCCTTTTAAAATCTGTTTTCTTTCTCTCTTTCTTTCTGTTTTTTATTTTTTTTTCTTTTCTTTTCTTGCAGTTTGTGTTTTATTTTTTTTTTTTTTTTTAATTCTTGTTTTTGATTGTCGGAGGCCCCTGGGGGTTCCTCGGGGACAGGGCAGGTTTGGGGACAGGCAGTGGTGGCAGCTGTGACTTCTTGTTTTCCCGGCTCGGTTCCTCTCTGCCTGCCCGTGGCAATGAGTAAGAGGCAGCTTCCACTGCGTGCCCAGAGCCTGCCGTGCCAGTCCTGGGGTGCAAACCCAGCTTGTTCCCTTTTCCAGGGGGAGCTTGGCATCCCTGGGAGCCCGCGGGCACCGCTCAGTGCCCGGAGCTGCTGACCACAGCTGGACCAGGCACCCCTGGTGTCCCGGAGCTGGTGGCACACAGGGAACGGTGCTGGTGACACTGTTGGAGCCACGGTGGGGACAGCAGGAGCGTGAGGATGCTCTGGTGGCCGTGGCCGTGCTCCAGGCTCATCCCAGGTCCTGCTCCGGGGTGAATCCAGCCTGGCTGGCAGGTGGCAGGACACCGAGGGCCCCGAGGGAACAGCAGCTGTGGCCACCCCGCCGTGGGGACGGCGGCCCTGCCACCAGCTCGGGCCCTGCCCGCGGCTCTGCAGGCGGAAGGGGTCACAGCTTCACGCCCCTCATTAAACGCTCATTAGGGAAATTGAGCCGCTGGCATGGCGTTCTCGCTCCGGGGACAGGGGACACGCGGGATGAGCAGCGGTGGTGGCAGAGGGGGGACACGGCAGGACGAGCCCCGGCTGCCGCTGCCCTGGCGGGGCTGTGCCGGTGGGGCCCGGCCGGTTCGCGGCTCCCGTCCCCGGCCACCGGGAGGGCCCGGGGCCGGCCGGTTCCCCGGTGGAACCGTGAAAGCACCGCCGGCCAAAGCCAGTTCTGCTCGCCCCGCTTTCCGCGGGGTACCCCGGTGCTCCCCAGCCTGGGGACCGCCAGCGGAGCTGGGAACAGGGGCAAGGGGAGGCTTTTACCTCCCTGTCCCTCGCCCGCCGGGTTTGGCCGGCATGGAAAGTCTGAACCTGCCGGGCCGGCCTGGCCGCGCCCCTAATGAGGGGTTTGGGAACGGGAACGGCGGCTTCACCTGCGAGCTGCTGGGAGCCGCCGGGACACCGGGCCTGGCACCGCCACCGGCTCGGGACAGCGGGGCACACCGAGCCGTGTCCGCCCTGCTCTCTCCCTGCTGAGATTTAATAAACCGCGTTGATTCGGGCTTTAATTAACAGCAGCTGTTGGCCGGGGGGGGAGGGGAGATCGCAGTCGTTCTCTCAGTTGTGCCTCAGTTTCCCCAGTGCCAGCACCGCGGGTGCCGGCCCCGAGCGCTGCCCCACGTCTGTCCTGGGTGTCCCCCGTGTCCCCCACACACCGTCCCCGCCGCCTGCGGGCAGCACGGACGCACCGGGGCGGGAGCTCCTGGCACCGGGAGAACCGGGGGGCCCGCAGTGTCCCCCGAGTCCCCCCACGCCCGCGGCGCTGACGCCGCTGATTTATCGCTCTCGTTAGCGCAGCCCGGGGAGCATCTGGCCGCAATTAGCGCCGGCTCGGCGTCACCCGCCCCGGTGTCCCGGGGCCCCGCGTGTGCCCGGGCTCTCGGCGGCGCGGGGGCCGCATCCTGGGGGGGGGGGGGTTATCGGCGGCCACCGGCGCTGCCTCCCCCCGCGCCGGTGACGTCAAGCGCTGACGCCGATCCGCCCCCTCAGCCGCCCGCGGGCTTGGCCGGCCGTGACGTCCGCCACCGCCACCGCCACCGCCGTTAACTCCTTCCCCGGTGCCGCCCGCACCGGGCTCGTGGTGCCCCTGGCTGATGGTGTAACCCCCCCCCCGTCCCGCTCCCCGGTGAACCGCGGCTGGCCGGAGGGAGCGGCTGTTCCCTGGGTAACCCCCGGTGCCACCGGGGCGCGGCGGTGACACGGGAGGTGTGGGGACATGCAGGAGCGGTACAGGGCACGCAAACCCTGCTGTGCCAGCGGCCTGTCCCGGGCTGACCCACACGGGCGGTGGCCTGGCTGTCCCCCGGCGTTCCCGTGAGGTCCCGTGGCGGTGCCTGGCCGGGTGTGTTCATTTATTTATTTGTTGTACCCATTTTACAGCCAGGGTCCGGTGCTGGTGCCCAGTGCCCGGTACCAGTGCCTGAGCCAATGCCCAGTGCCCATGCCAGGGACAGTTCTGGTGCCGGTACCGGGAGCCCAGTGCCAGGTGGCCGGTTCCTGTGCCCTGTACCCAGTCCCAGTTCCCACTAGCCAATTCCCATGCCCGATTCCCATTCCTATTCTCAGTGCCCCGTTCCCGTGCCCTCTTCCCGGTGCCCTGTGCCGTTCCCGGTTCCCAGTGCCCTGTCCCGTTCCCGGTGCCAGTTCTCGGTGCCCTGTCCCGTTCCCGTTCCCGGTTCCCGCCCCTCCCTTTGTGCCCATCAGCCCCGGCGGGGCGCGCGCCTCGGGGCCACGTGACCGCCCCTCCCCCGCGCTGACGTCATCCCAGGGCCCCGCGCGCTGTTGTCCCGTTTACCCGCCGGTCGCCGCGGCGACGGGGCCGGGGCGGGACCGGGCCGGGGCGGGGCGCCGCCTCCGCGGGGACGAGGCCGCGCCCCGTATGCAAACGAGGGCGCCCGAGGACGTCATCTGCAGCCAATGGGGACTCGACGCGGTGAGGTCACCGCGGCGGCGCCGCCTATTTAACGCGGCGCGGGGCGCGCGGCGGCGGCAGAGCCGTGTGCGCGCGCGCAGGAGCGGGGCCGCGGCCGGTGCGCACCGGGCGCCTCCCCCCCCGCCCTCCCCGCCCCGCGCTCGCCCCGGTCCTCCCCCCGCCCCGGCGCCGTTTCCCCCGCAGCCGGGCGGGGGAGGAGGATGGAAACACCCTTCTACCATGATGATGTGTTGAGCGGCCTCGGCAGCGGCTTCGCTCCGTCCTCCGGCAGCAACGGGCTCCTCCTGCCTTTCCCCGGCGGCAGCATGATGAAGAAGGACGCGCTCGGGATGGCCTTACCGGAACAGGTGGCGGCGGCGCTGAAAGCCCCCGGCGCGGCCAGCGGCGAGGCGGCGGGGCTGCTGGGCTCGGCCGAGCTGGGGCTGCTCAAGCTGGCGTCCCCGGAGCTGGAGCGGCTCATCATCCAGTCCAACGGGCTGGTCACCACCACCCCGACCAGCGGCCAGTTCCTCTACCCCAAAGCGGCCGCCTCCGAGGAGCAGGAGTTCGCCGAGGGTTTCGTCAAGGCGCTGGAGGACTTGCACAAGCAGAACCAGCTGGGCGGCGGCGCGGCGGGGAGCGGCGGCGGCGCGGGCGGCGGCGGCGGGGGAGGAAGCGGCGGCGCGGGCGAGCTACCCGCCGCCGGGATGGCCCCGGAGCCGCCGGTCTACGCCAACCTCAGCACCTACCCGGCCGTCAGCTACGCCGCCGACCCCGGCCCGTTCGCGGCGCCGCCGCCGCGGCTGCCTCCGCCGCCGCCCCCGCCGCCGCTAAAGGACGAGCCGCAGATCGTGCCGGAGGTGCCGAGCTTCGGGGAGAGCCCCCCGCTGTCCCCCATCGACATGGACACGCAGGAGCGCATCAAGGCGGAACGGAAGCGGCTGAGGAACCGCATCGCCGCCTCCAAGTGCCGCAAGAGGAAGCTGGAGCGGATCTCCCGGCTGGAGGAGAAGGTGAAGAGCCTCAAGAGCCAGAACACGGAGCTCGCCTCCACCGCCAGCCTGCTCCGCGAGCAGGTCGCCCAGCTCAAGCAGAAGGTGCTCAGCCACGTCAACAGCGGCTGCCAGCTCCTGCCCCAGCACCAGCACCAAGTGCCGGCGTACTGACCCCGGGCGGGCCCCAGCCCGGGCACGGACCGAGGGGTCCCGGGCAAGGACCCGGGGGAGCGCCCGCC